CAGTCAGCAGCTGCACAGCCTCTCCTGTGTTGCAATGCAGTCAGACAGGCTGGAGGATCCAGCAAGAAAAAGGAAGAGGATGTTTTTCCTCAAAAACTTCTAAATGCATGCAAGCAGGGGTCATTTTTTACAGTTCCAGGGTATTGTTATGAACTAATCATGAGATAATTCTGCCTGACCTTGTGTTCGACCTTGGGTTACATAGCTGAGATAAACACGACTCCTTTAAAAGTCTCCTCCCAAAACATGTATCTGACAGGTATACGGCACATACTGTGCCTCTCTCAGCTGACCTCAACAGAACAGAGTTTGACACCATCAGCTCAAAGCATGACAAAGAGATCCTCAATAACAGGGTCAAGTTACAAGAAATTGATAAACCATTACTGTCTGTCTGTAAGTACACGTGTAAAATGGAGGAATTTCTGAACTTCTGTTCTAAATCTACGAGGTTCTGACTGGACTTTGACTGTAAGAAGTACATATGAATTTCTGTGAATGTAGACAGCAAATGATTTCCAATCACAGTTTTTATCACTAATAGCAGATTAACTCCGTCCCATCTCGATGCACTAAAGTTGCTTTGAAGACAACAGTAGACTGCAAGTTATTGCAGACCTGGTCCCCGACTTTGAAGTAATCACTTCAAATCAACGAGATCCCAAGTTCATTGGAGATGGTCACAATAAATCTGCTTGTCTTGCACCTCCATTCAGTTTTCCGTAGCGTAACTGTCGTTTAAGTTTCTCATCCCTTTATTTCCTGTGGCGTCTCACCTGAAGCCGAACTTGTCCATGGACACAGACAGGTGCCGAGGCTGGCTGAAGCACTTGTAGGTGTTGCGGTCGTCCATGGGGATGAGGTCGACATCACTGAAGACGAAGCAGTTGTAATCGTACTCCTTCAAGGCCTCCGCGTAGCCAATGTTCAGCAGCTTGGCTCTGTTGAAGGTCTCGTCGCCATCCTGACACACACACAGGTAATCACGGGGTTAAAAGTGCAGCACTGGTTAAAGAACAGAGTGTGAAGTTAGTCACAAAAAACACTTTCAAACTTGACCTGTATCGTAGAGTATATAATATAGATCAAATGTAATGAATCCATCACCAGGCAAACAATGATGTTTTTTTGTCTCCTTGTACAGCAGCTTCCTGATCGACCGGTTTGAAGAATGTTAGACAACTTGAACTGTACAAATATGCAGAAACTGATATGAGTAAAAGCCTCCCTCGAGGTAATACAAGATAAAGCTCAGTATGACCTTAAAACATTGCAGGATTTTGAGACAACACAAACAGTTTAATGAAATTTTACTGGGTTTAAAAATGTTTATGTCTGCGCTGACGTACGACTATCGTGTCATAAGATTACAGGGGCTACTTTCAATGCAGCCTAATCTGCATCACCCATTTAGTGGTGACAGACTTTGAGTCTCCTGCTACACTCTTAATCACTTTATGCAAGTTTGCAGCATTTTTCTTGCATTTAGTGTACTTTCTGCTTCATATGAAAAAAAAATGACTTCCTTCAAAGAGAGAGTGAAGTCAGAAGAGCCGTTTAAGGACAATAAGACAGCATGAAGCTGCTCCAAACAGAGGTTATTACAGTGCACAGAAACTTTAAACAGATGGACGAAAACTAGAAAAAAAATATAGTTAATCCCAGCATGATGGATCATTCAAGCTATTAGACTGAGTCTTCTGGATTCCTCGGTGACTTGTTACCAGCCACCCAAATCTTCATACTGCCTCGAGGTGATAAATAAAAAACATTTAAGTCACACATCTGCACTACCCCATAAAATAAATAAAGTTGGTCTGACAGCTTCAAGTCACATTGATCAAATAAAATCCTGTGTGTCTACACTCTTCACTCTTCAATCAAAGGCACAATGCCCAACAAAACATCCTAATAGATAGGATTTCTCTCGCACACTAGGTGAGTTTAAGGAAAGTTGACCTTTGACCTGGATGTCTACACTACATGGCCACCTGGCGGAATGACAACAATACAGGGAGTGCAGAATTATTAGGCAAGTTGTACTTTTGAGGAATAATTTTATTATTGAACAACAACCATGTTCTCAAT